TATGTTCTGACTGTCTTGAGACGCTCTCGTTCATGAATCAGCGCGTGTGGTAGCTGGAGTGAAGTGCAGCAGGGCTCTGGTTGTGTTTGAGTGTTTCGAGGCTGTTCCAGTGTGTTGATGTGCTTCTGCTTCAGGAGACGCGTTCACACTGGACATCAGCAGCAGCCCTGAACTGTTTTTAAGGCCGTTGGGGTCGTATTTTCTTTCAGCTCGTGTAGTTTTGTTCATGGTTTTGAGAATCAAGGCTCGTCTAACATCTGCTCGTGTTGAATCTTCTGCCAAGCGGCATCTGCACCAAAATACTGTTATTTCATTAACATCAACTACAAAAGGTCAGGGTTGTTCCAACCTAATCAGTGTATAAAATTAAATGTATTTAATTTCTCATAACTGCACAGTTCTACCCTAGTGAAAAATAAATATACTCAAATGTTTTTGAAATACATTTACATATTTATGTATTTAATAAAAAATACCCTGCAATGATACTGGTATACTTAAAGTCTGCTACATTGGAACTAATTTTGTGTTGGATGCACTTTAATTGTGCAGAAGTAGTGCTGAAGTCCAACTAAAGATATACTGAAGCACATTTGATTGTGCTGAAGTGGAACTATTGCAGGTATACTTCAGGTACACTTTAAATATCCTGCATTTAAAGACTGATATTATTCAAAGATAATACAGTCCTCATCAATAGTGACATTAAAACACATTTTAGGCTTAATGTTAAACAATGTGCATTGTGCACACAAGTAGTACTCCAAATAAAGTATAATTATAATTTTTATTTCAGTAAGTCTCAATCGATATGTCAGTAAATATGTTAATAGATTTGAACTGTACTTAGTATGAAATGATGAATTGAAAGATATTTCTTTTTCACTAGGGTAGGTTTAGTGTGACGTTATTATTTGCATTCAGTGTGTCGCCAGCCGCTAGTATTGCAGTGTCAGGAACAGAATAATTTGCTGTGTATTAGTGGAGCAGAAGAGTGATGACGCCTTCAATTAGAGCGATTGGTTAAGATGAAGCTCCCTGTGGTCTTCAGGGCTTTTGTCACTGTTTAACCCATGAGCGCTCAAGCAAAACTAGAATGAGAAATATGATAATTTAATTCAATCATCTGTTCATGTTTACTGCTTATTAAATGATAGCAGCTATCTGGGGCATTGGTGTCTAATTTGTGACCCGTGATTCTGGGCCTGTGATTTGCTGCTCTTTATATCTGAGGTGTGAAGTTCCCCTCCAGTGTTCAGGGCCATTTTCCCACAATGCTGTAATTGTAATTTGTTTTTAACACTCCTGGCATCGGTGCTGGCTGCAGGCTGCGTCTCTGAACAAGAAGAGTCATTGTTGGTTTATTAAAACATCCTCTTCAGTGAAAGCAATACTCCGAGTCAATTATCACTTCTGTGACGATAACAGCACACGTCTGCGCTATTTTAGAAAGAGACTGTGGAGAGCTCGGTTTTGCCCCCTGACTCGTGTGTTTTCACCTCACCTTGTCTCGGTTCAGCCATTAGCACTCGCGCTAGCATCAACACACCGTTTCTCCGAGATTGGTGTAGCTCAGGCCGAGCGCCGCATTACCCTCGGAGAAAATCTCTGCGGTTTAGGGCTGCAGCAACTAATTAATAAAGTCAATTATAAACAATAATGAAAATCATCGACAACCAATTTGTGCACGGAAAACATCCGTCAATAATGTCACTTTATAGTAGTGAATAGCGCATTTCTATGGACAAAACACACGTGACATTTAGCGGAGGACACAGTAGCATAGTTAGGCTTAAATTTAGCGCTTCA